AAAAAAAAAAAAAAAAAAAAAAAAAAAAAAAAAAAAAACAAAACAAAACAAAACAAAACAAAAAAACCTTCCATAGGTAAACTTTCTACTAAAGAGAAACATTCAAAGCTGGGTATGGTACACATATTTGTAATCCCAGGACTCTGGAGGCTGAGATAGGAGAGTTGCCATGAGTTAGAAACCAGCCTGGGTTACAATGTTGAGTTTAAAGCCATCCTAAACTATATAATGATACCTTTTCTCAAAAAACAAAAAAAAATTTTTTTCAGAAAAAGACACAATACTAATGTTTTAAAAGTAATTCAAAGTATATTTTCTATCCCAATTTCATTTCCTTTAACTTTTTTTTTTTTAAATGGCACTGGAGCCGGGGATGTAGTTCAGTGGCACCACACCTGCCTTGCAAGCAGCCAAGGTCCTGAGTTTCATCCCAAGTACTAAATAAATAAATAAATAGGGCACTGGAAATTGAACCCAAAGCCTGCACATGCTAAGCACACCCCACACCCTCTACTACTAAGCTATATCACCAGCAATTTTCTTCTTCTGTTTTTTTGGTACCAGGGATGGAACTTGGGTCCTTGCGCTTGCAAGGCAGGTGGCGGCACCACTAAATCCCAGATCCTATTTTCTTGAAATTCATAACAGACACTGAAAAGTGTAATGCCATCAATTATAAAGATCAATGCAACCAGGCATGGTGGCACATGCCTTTAATCCCAGCACTGGGAGGCTGAGGCAGGAGGATCACAAGTTTGAGGCCACCCTCTACTACACAGCAAGTTCAACTCGAGCCTGGACTACATAGCAAGACCCTGTCTCAAAAACACAAAGACAAAAAGATCAATGCATGCTAAAGTAGAATAGAAAAGTGCATAAAATGTGAGGAGTACATTACCATTTGAATTTATGAAAAATGGAGAAAAAGTAAACACAAAGTGGAAAATGTTTAGCACATAGAAACTGACAAAGTTGCCTTTGAGAACAGAACTAAGAAACCGCAGAGAAAAACTTTTCTGCAGACATGTTACTTTTTAAAGAAAAA